CAATTTATTATTTTAGAGTTTTTTACACCATTACATTTTTTTGGTTTGTGCTGTGCATAGAGTTTTAATTTTTATGTTCTCCATTCCATTAATTTCAAATTTAATATTAAAATATAATGATGATTCAATTTCAGCATTACAAGCATGAAAAGCCTGGGGAAAACTATGATATTAGAAAAAGAATGTTATTTTGAGACAGTTAAAAACATTTAGTCTTATTTCTGTATAATAAAAATTCACTGTATTTAAGAATGTTGCCTAACATTAACATTAAGCTGTCCGCTGTTATTTTGTGTTATAAAGAAATCCTAATATTTAATTCACTTCAAGTATTTGCCAGATATCTTGACTTCATCATCATTAATGCATGGATAAATGGATGTCTCTACTGTTTGTGTATCTGTCTATATACAAATGATAAAGCAAGTGTAGTATAGTAGCTAAGGTACTAACTAGGATAAAGGTGCTAATTCTTCAAAATTTCCTGTCACAACTGTTATTTTATAACTTGTATCCTGGTGCCAAAGCACCCTGAGGTATTCTCACTTCTTTGGGAAAGTTTGGGGTGGAGGGCCATGTGAGTTTTTTCACTTTGTAAGCCAGCGGAAGATGGTCATGGGAATGTATCCTTATCTGTTTCTCAGAGCAGCTGGTACAATAACATCTTCACACCTGTGGATTGGTTGAATCCACATCTGGCTAAAGGGGGGGGTTTCTAATGCTTTAAATCTAATTGTTTTGCCTAAGAGTACTCAATATATATTTAAAGGATATTGCTGAAGACAATTTAATTGAAATTTTGTGGCATTAAAGGTACAATATTTTTTTATATTGTGGATCTTCAATTTAATGCAATTATTCTGTTCTGTAATTGATGAGGTTACACTCATTGTATGCACAGTGATAATGCAGTTTTTAATAAAATGCTGGAAATATTTATAAAGTAAACAACTCCCCTTATTTTAGTTCCATAAAACTCTTTTTATTTTAGAAACTGCCAAGTTTTAATTTCTAAGAATGTTGTATTGCTAGAAACTGGGCTGTGTGGTCGATATAGTAATAAAAACAAAACTCAAAACCCATGATTTTTATTGATGTATTGTACATCTACAGGGTAACTTCATTATTGCAAAGCACACTGAGACTTATTTTCACAAATTCAGTCCATTGTGCCATTGTTACTTTCCTAGAAGCATCACGGAGAAATATAAGAACTCAGCAGTGTTAAAATGAAGTTGTTGCTAGAAAAAAATGATAAAATATTACCTTTTCTGTATGTTTAAGGTTGCCCTCATGTTCCAAAATTTCTGTGATAGCTAGACATGTTTGAGGAAATCTCAAGTAATTATCTGACATTCTTAAACCTTTTCTATTGCCTACCCACTGTTTGGGTGACTGACTTAGGAAAATCTCTCATGTATTCATTACTGTCACAAATCCTGTTCTGCTTAAGAATTGGCATACTAACAATATATTTATATATGTGTTCATTCATTCATTCAGTCAATGTGTGGACAACTCAACTCCTGAAAAAAGCAGTTGTTCAACATTAATTTTTGGCACAATCATAATCATTCATTCATAATTAAACTTTGAACAAAAGAAAGCAAGGAAACAAGATATGAAATAATTGGTAAAATAAATATCAGTACCTAAATCAGATCTCAAATGTAACTTTCTGGTTGACCACTTCAAAATTAGATCCATATACTCACAGTAATTGCTATTAAACAAAATCTGGCAACCCTTCTGCTTATTTCTGTAGGCAGATTTCCTGGCAGGAAAAAGCAGATTTTCCTCATCTGTTTGGTCCAGATGATTAACAAGAGTATTGTTAAATAGAGATTAGATTAAACATGGAACATCACAACAAAACATGAAAAACTGATTCCTTTAATCTTTATGAGCAAGGGCAGAAATGTAAAGGCATATGAATATACTTCCGTATTGAATTATAAATGGCAAAATAATAAATTTAGCCATTGGAAATGTTATTTTGAGTGGAGCAAAATGTTGAGAAAATAATTGGTTTGGCTAAAAGGATTTCTGCAGAGACCACTTTTACGGGGGGGAAACTCCGCCTTTCTATAAATTGGAATTAAGAATATGATGCTTTATTTCTGAAATTGCTTTATCATACTCTGGTTGGAACAAGAATTAGGGAAGTCTTAGATCCCTCGGTGCTAGTTAGCTTTAATCAGCATTTTAGCTAGCTGTTTCTCATGAGAACTTTATACATAGAAGACCAGATTTTAAGCACAAGAGAACACTTGACAAACCTTTAGATCATAGAGCATCACTCTGATAAATTGAGCTCTTGCATTCTTATACACAGATAGCTTCATATTCCTTGAGCAAAAATCTCATCACCTTAGTCTTAAAACAGTTTGATAGTGGCTAAAACATTACCTTGCTGATACTAATATAGCATTGTAATCTTATGAACAGTGATAACTTACTTTTTTTCCTTTAATTAAACAGAACAAAAACAAAAGAGCAACACACATACACACACTCACACACATACAGCTGCATAGAGTAGTGGTTATAGTACATCCTTTGATGTCAGGGATTGGGATTCAAATTCCAGCTAGTACCTACCTTACTAGTAGGGGTCCTTGGGAAACCAACTCCTTTTACTGCCTACAACAAAATATAGAGTGACATGAATTAGGAAAATCATACTGGCTTTGATGTTGCCCACATTAACAAGATCCATATAAGATGTTGAGGGACCAGGGCAGTCTGATAAGTGGGTTACTAGTATAAGCCATATATGGATGAAAGAAGAGAACCTGTAACTGATGGAATTCTACTACAACAGCAGACCTAATGAGACAGCATATATGAACCATATGAAGGAACTATGGATGAAGAGAAGACCTCCTATGCTTCAACATAGCGAAGAGGAAGCTGCTATCACAACTTGAGATAAACCAACTACACATTATATCCAATACTCAGAAAAGAGCTTGAAGAAAAACTAGATGTGCAGCCAACTACCTTCCAGTAAAGATAGGTGACTAGAAGGAAACAGCTAACATTTGTTGTTTCAAATGGTTATGTTTTATAATCTAGTCATAATTAATGAAGCCTTTAGTAATCCCACTGACCTTTGTTTTGACATTAATAAAACCCAATTTTTTTCTGTAAAATGCTGCTAACATTTGCAGCCTTCTCCTTAGAACTATCTGACTAAAGGATAGCATATTTTTTTCATTGGCTGTCATGCCCCTGTTGGAATCTGATTCTGAGGGGGAGGTCGAGCAGCTGACAGGGAGTGGGAGTGTGGCTCCAGTGGCTGGGGAAGAAACTGGGGAAGGGCACAGTCCGGCTGAGCATTCAGAGGAAGATCCAGGGCTATCTGGGCATGCAGGGAGGAACGGAGAAGGGAACAACATGGTTTATGTGGCTTATGGGGGAGTAAAGGGCCCTGATCCACTTCATTAGCTGCAGCTGGGAAAACTTTAAAAAGGCAATCTGCACACAGCAAAGTTACAAAGTGTGCATTATTTTTTGTTTGTCAAAGCTTATCTGGGTTCTGGCATCCTCCCAACTGTGCAGTGTTTTGTTATCTTTTGGAAGTCTGTATTTCCTTATCCTGCCCTGTCTTGTTAGTTGCTGCAGCATGGTTTGTGTTGGTTTTTATTTATAATCTATATTTACTTTGGGTTTGGATTGAAGTTCTTCCCTTTAAAGACTGTTCTCGGGAGATTTTTTTCTCTCCAGCTGATGATAACTGGATATTGGGGGCCAAGTTGGAGGTAGTAAAGTGATTTTATTTTTCTGACTTTGTTGTTTTTGTGCCACACCTCGGGTCATCACATTGGCATATAGAAGAATAGATGTAGACAGGTTTTACTAGCATTGAGGATAAAACATTTTTTAAAGATAATTTATTTACTGAGATGATGAAGAAAGATAATGTTGTGGCCCGCCGGCAGCTAGCGGAGCTGGCACCCGAATTGGACAGTGAGGAGGTTGGGAGGAACATGGGCCAGTCCTGGAAGCTAAGGAAGGCTCAGACAAGGGCACTGAGTTGGAGGCAGAGATGGGGCCAGGGCAGTCTGCCAGTTGTCAGCTGCCTTCGGAGTCAGACAACAGTGGGGAGTAGCTGGATCCGATTCCCAGCCTGCGGAAGGGCAGAGCTGCCAAAAGAAAAGAACAATTATGAACTAAGGGTCAACGTGGGATAAAGCCACAGATGGACAGTGAATGGCCCTTCCCATAGGGAGTAAAAGAGGTGCAAAAGGGGAGGGGGCTTTTTGCAGGAAACAATTTGTTTGTTGCAGCAAAGATCTGTCTGTGCATCTCAGAGACTCTGTGCGGAGTCCTTCCTTGTCAGTGCTGCTTTTGAAAATATTTACTTGGCAGCTCTCCAAGCTAGATACGATCTGTGTTTGCCAGGCCTTTGGCTGAATGTGAATGCAAAAAAATCACCTTTGTTTAATAAAAGGGGTTTTGCTAGAACACAGAGCCTGCTTAGTGCTTTTGGGGGAAGCCTAGGTCATAACAGTTAAAGAAAAACAAATATACTTTCTGTATGTCTTTCTGTCTTTTTAAATGAGTATTTCAGATTTTCTGAAGATGCCACATTGAACCTGCATAATGGTATTTTAATATAACATAATGTTTAATCACACTAATTGGCAATCTGAATTAGATGGTACCATTTTGCCTATATCCCTTTCTTCGGATCAATACAAGACTATGTATTGATCAAATATTGACAGCCCAGATTTAAAGATAGCTTACTTTAGCCAGCATATTACCTTGATCAATAAGTTAACAAAATTTTCATATATAAACTGGGAAAATTTCTTGAAGCATGGACAATAAATTGCAAACGAGTGATCAGGTGGCTAAATTGCTTTTTAAACATAGGAATGTTATAAATACCAAAATATTTCAAACAATGGGTTATAAACTGCTAATAATATCCATATATTTTTTCTGGATCTTTTCACTTCTTCTTCTTTTGTTGTTGTTATTTCTTATAGGTGAAATCTGTGCTTTTAAAATCCACGGACAAGAAATGCCCTTTGAAGCTGTAGTCCTAAACAAGACATCTGGAGAAGGTCAGCTTCGAGCAAAAAGTCCAATTGACTGTGAATTGCAGAAGGAGTACACATTTATCATTCAAGCATATGACTGTGGCACAGAGCCTAGTGGAACAAACTGGAAAAAGTCTCACAAGTGAGTGACAACCAGGACTATGGGTGTTGGGATATACACTTACAATTCAGGCGGAATAGATCTTTCTAATATTCATAAATGTTGCTAAAGAAGAAATTAAAACAAAATTCTTTTTCATAAGACATTGTTAATTTTTTTCTTGCTCTCTGACCAAGTAAAACTGGCTTCTTTAATAATCATTTAGCTAGAAAAGCAATTATTTCAATAGACTCATGTCTGCAATTGTAATAGCTATATACTCTCTTAGTAAATGATCAGTTGCTTTTTGAAATTTAAAAAAGTTATCACTTTGTTTACATGTCCCAGATTATTTTGATTTCATTTTTGTGTTTGTAATTTGTAATATAGATAATAATATAAACTTATTTTCTACTATTAATACTTGATTCTTAGTCATTTATAATCATATTCTAAATGAAAAAAGGATAAATGTTTCTTGATTTGTGAACATTTAAAGTGTTGGTTATATTCAATATACATGGCAATTTCAGAATAATATTGTAAGAATTGCAATATTAACATCCACATAAAAGCAAATAAAATAATAGAGAAGTGCAGTAAGAAGTGAAGTTAATCCAAACATTAGTTTAAATGAGTAGTTCATTAAAATACATATTTTAATTCTACTAACTATTGGCAGGTTTTCAAACTTAGATATTTTCTACCCATTTTTTGTATAGAGATTGTATTATTTTTAACAATTGTTTATAAAATTTAAGCATAAAATGAAACTCTCCATACTACAGTGGATTTAGAAAATAAGTAGAAATTGAGAATAATAGTCTTTCTTTTTAGAGCTGTGGTCCATATCCAAGTAAAAGATGCTAATGAATTTGCACCTGCTTTTAAAGAAGCATCTTATAAAGCTACAGTGACAGAAGGAAAGATCTACGACAGTGTGTTACAGGTAGAAGCCATGGATGAAGATTGTTCTCCTCAATACAGTCAAATATGCAATTATGAAATTGTCACAACTGATGTTCCATTTGCTATTGACAGGAATGGTGAGTCCTTGACATTTGACAAATGCATTTTTTGGACTATATCCTGAGACAGATCTTTCTAGAAAGCATTTATTTTTCTATAAAAGTTGGTATTAGGGTAGCTTCTAAATTTTCAATTTTATCTTGAAAAAAAAATGGCTTCAGTTGATTTACCATATTTGTCAACCAATTGCAGTTCACTTAAGACAACCCTGCATAGAATCAGTACAACATTCTTCAGATTCTACTATTCATTCTGAGTATCTATAGAGTGTTTGTTTAGTATTCAGAACTATTTTCTTGTTTTAAAATCACCTTGAAGTTTCAATAAGAATATCTTCTTAGAGAAAATTAACTTCTAAGCAAGGCAGAACCACTCTTTTCAGGCACCAGAATCAATTTAATAAAATAGTAAAAAATATTTTTGCAAAAGGTTTACAAGGTTTTCATAGTGTCTAAGTACATTTCTCAAAAATATTTAAGTATTTTGATGTCTCATATTATTAATAATTTATTAAAAATGCCAATATGTTATAGGATTTCAATCATTTTAGATCTTTTTAAGATAAAAAGTAGAACCTCAACTATGAGGTATTCAGTTTACAGATACTTCATTCCCAACGTTCCTGATTTTAGTTAACTGAATTCATTTGTTATTTTTTTCAGTGAGTTTAAAGAGACAAATGTACAATAATTGTTTTTTTTTTTTAAATCCAGATGTCTTTTCACTAGGTTATATGTCAACCTTACTTTTTTCATTAATGTATGATTGGATACATTCTGTGTTTAAATTATTATACCTTGAGTAGACAAATTTATTAGTTTCTTTTATAACATATATTCATGTAAAATTATTTCCAGGCTGCTGGAATATTGAAGATTTTTATTTCCGAAATTCCATCAGTGGCTTACCAAAATTATAAATTGAAAATGAGCGCAGAGTCTTTTTTTTTTTCTCTGTCTTTATGTTGTACTGCTTTAGCAGATGTCAACATTCCAAGTAACAACCTCCAGAGCAAAAGACTCCCAAGAATATCATCTTCCCAAAGATCCATTTTATTAGAGATGTCATATTGGCACATATGGTAAAACCCAAACCTGAATGTTCCAGGTTTTCCCTAGCTCAAAGAAAACCCAAAATACAATCCCCTACACCCAATAGTTCATCACACGATCCAATCATTACTTCATTCCAACTGGCCACTATCCCCAGTCACTCCCATCCACGTGCAGAGTAACATGTCCTTGACTTTCTGAGAAAGGAATGTTGTTGTTACAAATCTTCCACCGGTCCTTGAAATCCCCTTCCTGAATTCCCAGGCACTGAATGTGGCAGCTCAGAAGCCTCAAAGAAAAATGGCTTCCAAGCTAACAGTAGAAGCAATTCCCCATTTGACACTGACCTCTACCTCTATCTGAACTGCTTTTTCAAAGTGCATAGATAAGAGTCAGAGGATAATGGGAAAAAGTTAGGACTGATGAAATTCAGATGGCAGTTAGAGAATATTTATTCAATGACATTAAAATAATGTCACAGTAATGATACAGTTATATAAAAATATCTTGATGTCATACACAGGTGGGTAACCTGCCCTTTACATGTGATGTATAATGTAGTTGTAATCATTTGTCACACTAGGTGCTCTACAGTTACTCATATTGGCCTTGTTCACATTTCAATATCTTGATTGAAAGACTTTGTATATTTCTATGAAAGAAGATATTCAATATAATTTAAATTATGTAATAAATATCTATTAGCCTAGTTCTTTGTTGAAAGTGTTGTAAAACACAGCCTCATATAGCATACAGTAACTTCTGGAACACTTAAGGAGCTGTAGTTTTTAATTTTCAAGCTTGCTTTTTTGAGCAATGCAAATATTTTATCCTTGTTATCGCTTGCTCAGAATTAATTCTGCTCTCTCTCTCTCTCTCTCTCTCTCTCTCTCTCTCTGTGTGTGTGTGTGTATGTGTGTGTATGTGTGTGTGTGTGTGTGTATAATTTTTCTGGAATATAAATGCTCATATTATGAAGGAATTTTATGAAGGAATTTAACAGAATAGCAGGGAAGAGAAAGGAAAAAAAACAACTCACCTTCTACCTTTAGAGACCAAGCATCAAGATGAGTTTAACAACAGTCAAATCTGTGGATTAGTGTTCAAGTCAAATAGTTCCTAAAGAACAAAAAACTTCCTAGAGAATACACAATTTATAATTTTCAGACTCTTGAACATTGTGCTTGGGTTCAGTGCAAGAACTTTCTGGATTTTAGGAAACACACCACAAGTTTCCTTAAAACCTTATGAGTGAAACCTTACAGCTGTTACGGAGCCAGATCAATGTGTAAATTAAACCTTCTGAGATATGATAGCATCAGCCTTCTGCCAAATTGATAATTCTCTTAATGGTGTTGGAAATGATTGACAACATTTTGTGGATAAAGGAAGAGACCCAGTGCCTGGATGATTAATTTATATCATTTCTTGTTAAGGTTTTCTAAAGGGTAGAAGGACTTTGGCTATGGACAATTCGGTCTTTATAAATGTGCTAAAGCTAGGGTGGTCATAATCTATACTGGATTCAATGACACTGTGAAGCATACATGGGCAATTGTAGAAGTCCAAGATAGGCATCTAGTAGAGATTGAAATCCAGAAACATTGCCATGTTAGTATTCTCAGAAATGCTAACTGCCAATTAGTCAGGTACAGTTCATGAATGCTGATGTGTAGATGAGACAGTGTTGTTAGGAGAGATGGATTTAAATTATTGGGCATTGGGAATTTGGAGGACACATCAAACCCATTGAGACAAATGGGTCTTGAACTAAAATTCTGGTACATAAAATCTGAAAGGGGTAAAACTGGTTTTAAACATATTCTTAAAGTAAACCAATTGTTATGTTTGGTTTAACTTAAAAAATATAAAGTAATGTACAGTAGATTGGTGCAAAAAACCTTGATCACACAAACACCGACCAAATTTGCTGTACAGGAGACAAAGAACAATATATTATTTCAACATCCTCTGAGCCATATTTCACATTTATACTGTAGTCAGGTCTAGGATTGGCTCTAAGCATGTCCCAATTGAAGCTGCACTAATAATTTACAGAAGAACTGTAATCTGGGCAAGCTCCACATATCTCGATTTCTGGTTTATAATGGTTGCATAATAAGACTTCTTTTGCAAGCAGTATCCATTCTTGAGCAAGTCAGACTTGACATCAGTACCCATGCTTTGGTTACATCCCAACTTATTAATACAATGTGTTTACTCTTGAGAAGTATCTAGCGACTTCAGGTGAAGCAAAAGATGGAAACTAAGCTGCTAGCCAATAACCAATGGACATAGTACAATATTGTTTCATGATATTTTAATTGTTTATTCTTTTTTTGCTTGAATGCCTCAAGACATTATAGCAGGATATAAAATATTAATATATCATATATCACATCATATATCACTTCATATCATATATCATATCAAAATATAACTCTATAGAGCTAGACCAATATTTTTGTATGGAACAGTCTTTTGCTGCAGTTGCTTAGCTTTGATTACTGTAATTTTATTTGTGAGCAATAAGATCATGAATACAGAATACTGTCCAACATTTAAAAGAAAATAATAGTTCTTTATAGTTTGCATTTCCCACACTTATATTTGAACTCCATGAAGCTAAAGATCTCATTGGAAATATTTATTTCCTTTCTTTGTATTTTGTGGCTTTGGTGATCTTTCATGAATGATTAAAAGGTGTTTTAGAAACCAATCTTCTAAAGCACGTATGTTAACAGTTGCAACTTTTTATTTAACTTTAGGGGATATTAAGATTTATGTTATCATCAGGAGTTTATTCATTAAAAGCAGTGTGTTACATGGGACTGTGGTTATAATGTAGGCCAACTGTACAGAGAATTCTTTTAATGGTTAGAATGACTGCCAGACCTTGGAGGGTGAAGTAAGTTGTTAGCTATTTAGCTGTCACTAGAACGAGCTAGTTTCTTATATTGTTCTCTTGGAGGCTGTTTTCAAGCTGGCTGGAGTCAGTGCAAAGTTGATGGAATGAAATTTTGAATGAAACCTTATAAACCAAGTCTGAAATTAAATATATATCTAGGGATTGCTTACCGAGAGTGGATGGAATATATCATTATTATGGACTGTGATCATCATTTATATATGAAGATAGGAAAATACCTTTAAAACTTAATTGTTCAATTGAAGAAGCTAGTACTGAAATCAGAGAACTGGGATTTCAAATATAAACAAGTCTGGATCTTTTTCTCCCCTTCAATTAAGAACTATTTTCAATCAATTGATGTTGTAGTTCCAAAACAGAAAAATATTAAAAAAGTGAACTTAAAGCCTGTAAAAAATTTTGTGTATTTATGTAAGCAGATTATGTTTTCTATCTATCTATCTATCTATCTATCTATCTATCTATCTACTTTTATTTATGTAATTTCTATAGCTTTCTTAGTCACTGCCTCTGGGTGACCTACAATTTAAAAGAAATATTAAAATTAAAAATGCTAAAACATTTTAAAGCAGTAAAACCATTAAAACATCCAGATTAAATATACATAGGAGTAAGATACTTGACCAGCTAGCAATACAGCCAGGAAATGGGATCCTTAACATACTCAGCACCTCAAGCATGGGAATATAGCTTGGTTTTGAGGGCTTTATGAAAGGCTAAGCAGGATAGGGGCATTCTAATCTCCATATACTAGATTGTTGGCATTGCAACAATTTTATTAGAATTGCCTAAAAGTTTTAATTTTTTTTTGCCATGGACTTATTCAAGCAGTCTCTGGGAATCAAACTGACCTGAAGACAGATGAAATGATAGATTGCAAGTAATTAGTTAAAAGGTTGCTGTCTTAAAAGGAAAGCAGAGTTAAATCTAAGGAAAATGACAAAAAGGATGATTAAGAAAAAATTCAGTTAATCAAATTGGAATTTTAATAATGGAAAGGAAAAGGAAATAACCAGTATAGTAAAAAGGAAGGAAAGGATATCTGGAATCAAAATTAGAGATTGATACATTAAGACTCAGATATATGCATATGGGACTTTGTTAGCCAAAGTAGGGAAGTTTTAGAGAGCTTAATTAAGAAAACAAAATTAGAAGGTAAATATATATAGAGAGAGATATTTTTTTTAAAAAAGAAAGAATGTCAATCAGTGTGCTTAGTGAACGACTCACAGTTGAGGGTGAAGGAGTATGGAAAGCAAATTGTTTTCATGAAATCTGTAATAAATGAAAATGGACAATATGGTAGAGTAGTGAAAGAAAACAAAGATTCATTATAGGAAGGAAGGAAATAATTTGTGCAAGTTCATGAAGGCTTAGGGCATTTAATGACATTGAAGACAGAATATTAAAGGAATGGTCTTTCACAATAAAAAGCTGTGAAAACAGAACTATGAGAAACAGTGAGAGATAGATACCTTCAAATCATTGCTTGATTTACTATCATGTGAACTATAAGAACCAATTTGGGCAAAGTAAAAGCTGAAAGTTTTCCGTTTAGCTGAAAGTTGAAATTCAGTTTTCTGATGATGGATATGAGAAAAAAAATCCTTTGCAATATTAAGTAAACTAAGTGAAGTACAGGTCAAATTTACCATAAATATTGACAAAAGCCTTTAGCAAGCAAAATAAATCTTGCCACTAATGTTTAAGTGAGGAAAACAGAGAGGCAACAACAAGAAAAAAGTAAACCTCCAGATTGCCATTGTTGTTGATAATTAGTATAATCTTTGGGCATTTCCAATACATTCAATACAAGAGTACCGGTGGGGCAGTGGTTAGCATGCACTATACTGAAAGCAAACTCTGGCATTCAATCCTGACTGGTCTTGAGATTAACTCATCCTTCCATTCTTCCAAGATCAGTAAAATGAGGACCCAGATTGTTGGGAACAATATGCTAATTCTGTAACCGCTCAGAGAGTGCTGTAAAGCACTGTGGGCAGTATATAAGCCTAAATGCTATTACTATTGCTATTGTTAGAGGGAATCTTAAAATGATAAATTCTCCCAGACACCAGGCAATTATGGAAAAATAGAATTATTGATATTATGATTAATTTAAATTTGCTAAAGGTGCTATGTGTCATGTGTCAGCTTGGAAACCATTTTTCTTTGAGGTTTCTGGGCTGCCACGTTCAGTGCCAGGAAAGATGGAGTCTTTTTCTTTAGAGACTGTTACTTGGAACACTTGACATCCTGTTGATTCATCAAAGAGAGATTGTATCTATACATATCCTTTCCTATCTAGAGCAGGGGTGTCAAACTTACGGCCTGTGGAACAGATGCATCACACTCTGGCCACCCCCATCCCAAGTTTAGCAAAGGGAAAATAGGTCACAATACATCACATGATGACATGACGCCACGAGTTTGACACTCCCGGTCTAGAGATGTGACTTTAATGCAGAGGGTAGTACACATTTTCATCACGTGCTGCATTCATTATCTTTCTGTTTCAAACTATTCTTGTCATATGTTGTTATTTTCTCTGTATCTGATGAGCCTAATCTGGAGAATCAGGTCCCACTCTGTATAAGTTGATAGTTTGATTGTAATGTTCTGAAGAACCTTGAGAAAAAGGAAAAAAAATACAATCTAAGAAAAGTTCCCATGAAGTTCAGTCTTTCTTCTAGCTTTTTGTCCCTATTTCCTTTTATATAGAAGTTCTTTTGTATACTACTGGCAATTATTATAGGTTTCATTATGGTAAATTGCACTAGTAAGTTGGCAATGAAACAATAGCTTTTTATTGTTCTGTGTTACACCTACAGGGAATATCAGAAATACTGAAAAGCTCAGTTATGACAAAGAGCATCAGTATGAAATAATGGTAACAGCTTTTGACTGTGGGCAGAAACGTGCAACTGAAGATGTCCTAGTACGTGTTGAAGTTAAGCCTGTGTGTAAACCTGGATGGCAAGGTAATAATTGTGTATCATTATTAAATGTGTTAATTTAATTATACATTTTGTACTGAGAATAAAGAAGAATTAAAGAATATAGAAATTAACAAAAGCTTAAACATAATTTAGTTTTTAGCTTTAAAAAATAGTGTATACAATTTATTTGCTCAGTGTTGATTATAATCTATATTCTTTAAAAACTATAAAGTTGCCTAAATTAAGAAATGCTTGAATCCTTGTCTATGGCTTCATTACTAGTTTTCATTCAACATCTACAGTAATTTACTAATTAGAAGTTGGTTTTCTTCATGTCTCAGTCCTATCAAAAGATGTATTTTGAAAGTGGGGAATAAGTCAGATAATACTATATTGGCAATACTGTAGTGGTCCTTGTAGTCTCAGTGTATCAGTCTACCATTCTGACACAATTAGCCCATTGCTGCTGCAGGAAAGTTGAGCACAATTGGAATTCAATTGTTGAAGCAACAATTCAGTGCAATTGAGCAAAGAAATATACCTCAAACACCTAGATCTATTAGCACTACTATTTTAAATATACAAAGTCTATACAATTTTAAGGCTAGTAAATAAGAACAGTAGGAAGTGTCATTAAAAGTTTACATGAAGTAAAAGCTTCCTGTCAGTTAAAGTTTTCTGATTATTTCTGGACATATGCAACCATCTCAATAATATGATCATGGTTTGCCAATTTTTTTCTGATTTTTAAAAAATGTCCATCTAGGCCACATGTCACATTGACATCATGTGACTTTTGCAACATTTTTCCCCTTCACAGAGCATGGCCTGCATGTTATGTATCCTATGGGCTGTCAGTTTGACACCCCTGATCTAGCCTATTGTCATAGAATTTCCTTATAATTCTCCCAACCCAGTTTGGCTCTTTGGTTTCAATCACAGTCAGTTAAGATTGCTGTTTTCTGTAAATACATAATCATAACTAACTGATCAGCTGCAGTATAATCAAACACCTGCCATCAGCAGTGAAAGTGATCACCAGTGGTGTTAATAAAACCAATAATCACAATGTCTAACATTGTCACTACTGCTGTTTTAGCCTCATCAGTAGTATCATGGCTAAAGCAATTTAAACAGAATTTTGGTGACTATTTTTCACTTATTTCTGATTTTCATAAATGAGCAGTTGGTAGGTTCAGAGTAGTAATAAGGCCAATACAATGGACTGATACTAGCCCAAATAATTATAATAATAATAAAGCCTTAAAAATAGGTGTGTTTCACCAGGGATTTGGAGCAGAATCTCTGTGTTCTACCAAGCAAAAGAGTCAAAATTCTAACTGTTCCATTGCAGTCGCACTGGCATCCATGCCAAGCTCCAGTAATTTGAAAATATACCCAAAGAGTAATCCCATTATTATGTAGAATTAGGGCCAAACTTGAAAGTTATGAGTTGGTAAATTGCAACAGAGCCTTATGTTTTAATTCAACCATGGGATAAGATTTATATTTAGGTTCAAAATACAGATAATAAATTGTTTTATCATGTAAATTTATCTTTTTAAAAAGAAAGAATAATTAGGCATGTTTTATGTTTTGTATATAGCATGCAATAACAACCAGAGGCTTATTTTTAGCATTTCTCTTTGTGACTGATTAAGTATCAAGATTGACCTATTAAATGATCCATTGAGATCAATGCAAAAGTAATATAAAAGTAACTCAGGTAACATATCTAGGTCACATTCCTTTCCAATGTTCCCAGGTGATTAAACAGATTTTTTTATAGAGAGAAAGAAGTGTATCATCTTGAACAGAAATACAAATATGGTGTATTTCTTTTTCCAAATTTCCATTTGTGAATTAATGTGTAAGATTTTTCTGGATAGCATTTGCTGATGATATATAATATAAGAATACATATACTTATATTACATGTACGTCTTAAGGCTACAGAAGTCAAAAGTGCTTTTCCTTGAGAGTGAGATCATTTTTTTTTCAAAGTGAACTTTCAATTTTCATTGAGAGTGAATACAGTTTGGGGTTTGTTTCGTTGAGGGCTGCATCAGGGCTGTGATTGACCTTGGGGGATTAAGCAGGCATGGCCAACTAGATTGCTGCGGTCAGCTTGACTCCCCAAACTGCTGGCATGTTTCTTCTTTGCACTGGGTAGACTGAGCTGAAGGCATGCTGTCCTGATCTTTCCTCTTCGCACTGGGTAGACCAGGCCGAAGCTACGATGGCCTAATCCAGGGGTGTCCAACCTTGGCAACTTTAAGACTTGTGGACTTCAACTCCCAGAATTCCTCAGCCAGCTTTGCTGGCTGTGCAGCTTTGCTGGCTGAGGAATTCTGGGAGTTGAAGTCCACAAGTCTTAAAGTTGCCAAGGTTGGACACCCCTGGCCTAATCTTTCCTATTCACTTTGGGTAGACCAGGACAGCCACAAAGGCCTTGAGTTTGATACCACTTGAAAATAAAATTGTCAGTAGATTGGTTGGAGTATCTGCAGGACTTTTTTTTTTTCTTCTTTATTCTCGAAAACAGTGCTCTTCACTGGAGTATTCTTTAACAGTTTCAACCGTTTCTTATCTAGAACAGGTTTTATAATCTCACCTTTGTCATTTTTTCTAACCACAAGTGCCAGAAATATGAGCAGGGTTTCCTATCATGTTGAGGTGGGAAATCTTATAGTATAAATGCTGAAAGAAATCTTAACAAGATTTTAAAAATAAAAAATGTTAAATTTACTCACAAAAATGATAGTATTGTGGAATATTAATTCTATGCCCAGTGAGCAAAGAAAGATAAAGTTCATTTAGTAGCATTATCTGTCTCATTGGAACAGATATTAGCATGTGATGGCTTCCTAATTACTGATCTTTTAAGAGGTTAGCTGATCTCTGTCCTAGAACAGTGTTGGTGAACCTTTTTAGGACCGAGTTCCAAAACAGGAGCGCGTGCATGCACGCTAGAGTGCCAGAAACTGGAAGAACAGTTCCCCAGCATGCCTGCACTGCCAGCCACCTGGTCCTCCATTTTATGGTGCGCATGTGTGTGCAAAGACCAGCTGGCTGGCATCCAGAAGAGCAATGGACGACAGCTGTCGTGCCAGAAGAGATGGCTCTGTGTTCCACTTTTGGCACGTGTGCCATAGGTTTGCCATCACGATCCTAGAATATCCTGACAAACAGTATGGATTGATTTATTACCTTAGTTTTCTAGAGCTATTGGACAATGGCCTTTTATTTGTCTCTATATTGTAATAAGCGACCCACCTCAATTTAGGATTAAGATGAAAGGGAGGAAAAATATTTTCTAAGTATCTTTATTGTAAAATCAAAAACAATTCCACTTTGGATCATTTACAGGAAAGAACACTATTTTCATAGGTTTTGTTGAATGAAAATGTTTTAAAGTGGAATTAGGGTACAGCCGCTAACTATAAAGATAACAAGGTTTACAATATAAATTTAAGAGTTTAAATTCAGTTTAAAGAACTGAAATATTGGTTTGTGGCTCTTTTTCTATATATGGAATAATTATTATTTCTGTTTTCATTTACAAATAGTAAATTATTATTTGAACTAAAACAAAATATAGCATTCACAAAATTTGCATATCAGCAGTCTATTTTGTCTTGAAAGTCTTGCATAAGATATATCTGGGTATATTAATTACAATTTAAGTTGGACTATTACTTTAAATAATGAGTGCAACATCTAAGTGTCTTTGACAATTAAGCAATGTATTTGTAAAAATTCACTGGAAAAATAGGAATCTTTAATTATAATGATTGTTGTTTAAAATCATTAATTTTAGTGATTACTAAAATTAAATATGAAAGGTCTCTAATCTAATCATGTATCTACAAACATATATGTGGGTAAAAGCTGGCAGTATTGTTAAAAGTATTGTTAAAAAGCCCTTGAGTCTCATTTTGAAATCGTGCAATTGTAATTCAGTCATCCTGATTAAAGTAAAATATTCCTTAAGGGACTTTCTTTGAAACAACATGGCCTGCTTTTGCACAAGCTCTATAAAAGTACCGTATTAATGTTCCATACTGCAATGAGCTGAAATATAGTTAGGTTTTCAGGTTGCAAATAAAACTTATAATGTGTTGAAATTTATAGCAAATCATTGGATTTATTTTGTGCTGGGAAATTCTGAACAGCTGTCATATCACTTCTTCACATGGCACACTGAACCATATTAACCCATATTAATGTATTAATGTAGAAATATATATTTTTTTCTTAGAAGAAGACAGGAAGGGAGGGACAGAGGGAACGGAATATTAAGAAACAGTAATGTGCATTACATTCACGTGTTTGGCAATGTATTATGACATAAATTTTAAAACTCTAGGAACTTTTAAAAATATAAAAATTAATGACTATCTTTGTATCCTTCCATTACACCTAAATATATGCCATGGAACAAATCCATGGCATTGAAAAAAACTAACTAAACATATCTTTAGATCAAGTGCATTGATATGATATTCATCTTACAGCAGTGACTCTTATTGAAAATCTCCGAATATAACCCATTGCGACAACTGTTTCTGAGTCTGCTTCATCCATGTCTGTATTAGAATTTTTGTGGGTATGGAAGGATGATCAGAATAATCAAACTGTTAAAAATGTTTATATTCCTTAGAATATTACAGAACCAAAAAGTTATTAATATAAAATGACTTAGGTAAATTTATTGCTAGTCTATTTGCATACTTTAATAAGAACAGCATGGCTTAAATTTTTGCAATGAGGAAGATAACAGGTCTTGGTCAAAAGAATGGAAGCAAGGACTGAATAAGTAATACATGAATATGCATAGTTGTACCTAAGTAAACTTCAGTTGAAGTTCACTGAAATATAAATGCATTTATGAGATTCTTTAGAGTATGCATGTGTTTGCCATTTCATAAGGACATGAAGTGGTCCGGCTCCTGTATTTGTAGAGCATTCAACATGTGGAAATAATCTTAGATGAATCAAAATTTTCTGTCTTGGAATATACTAAGGATTCCTGGCCAAGGAGAATTTAACCAACAAACATGAACTATTCTCATATATACCTTGAATGCACAAGGAAGTTTATTAAAAACCTATCTATGCAGCTAGTTTGCAGCCAGGTATGTAGACTCACAGGAAAAGTCAGATGCCTGATAGGGAAAAATAAGATCTGAACTAGAATCTAACGAACAGGAAAGCAATATAAAGCCACATTCAAGTATCATCTAAATTTAATTGTTATTCCCTGCAGATATCATCCAGAAGATTGAAGGTTTTCCTGTAACATTTTAGCATTCAATACAAATGTCTGCAAGAGAAAAGCTAGCCCAGCTTATCTCCTGCATGCATTCAGATGAATGTCTGCTTGGAAAATGAAACTCATTATAGAAATGTGATAATTCCAAACACCTGAACAGATTGAAAATGTACAGTGTGTATGATTTCAGTGTGTACTCCCTTTGAGTAAAATGGAACAAAAATAAATCTCTTTATTATGAAATCTTATCTTGGTAGGTTTTGAACGGCTTCCCAACAATTTTTTTTTCTTTTGGTTGACTTTTACATTAAGTTCTTTACGTATACTCAGCTGAGAACAAAGAAATCTGCAGTTGCATTTCATTTTTTTAATGACATGTTTTTAAATTCCACTTCTGACTATTTGTTTTTTAAAACACAAGCTTCTGTTCACATTTCTGTTTCTAAAAATGCACAAAATACAAAAAAAAAGTCTATAGACATGTTATATTATTGGCCATGTTGTAGTATGTAATAATATTTCTATTATTAGACTGGAAAAGACATATTGAGTACAAGCCTGGTTCAGGGAGCATACCTTTATTTCCTATTATTCACCTGGAGACCTGTGATGGACCTGTTTCTTCTATCCATGCCACTGTTGAGCTTCAGACTAATTATATTGGAAAAGGCTGCGACCGTGAGACCTATTCAGAAAAATCTCTGCAGAAATTATGTGGTACATATTAATTTATTTGTAATTGTATGTGTTTATGAGCTGGTAATGACAGTAGTGGTATTTATGTAGAAACTGAAAGACACATTTCTTTTCTGTTAACATTCGATTACATGGGGACAAGGATCACATGTCTGCAATTAGCAGGCCTGAAGCCAGTAATAAGTGGATATATAATTCAAATAAACAATATTCTGAAAAAAAATGAATTTTCTGGTACAAAGTCAGCAGAAAACCTTATTCTGAAATATTTGCTGCATTTTATGAGTAGAATTTGATCCTTTTCAACATCTATATATCAGAGAAAATAGGTTATTTGTTTATGTAGAAGGATACATATGACCAGATATCCAGCTTGTTAACTAATTAATACAATTCTTTTACTGGGGTTCTGCAAGGATGATGGGAAGACTCTTTAGACTGTTTAAAGTAATTTCATCACTAAGATGAAATTACCAAACTGGATTTCTCAGTCAGTCCAAATGTCTTAATTGGACCTGCCACACCAATGGTCACATAACCCAATCAGTCTATGTGACTTCAATCCCAACATTATCCAACTAACAGCTATTATAGATCAAAACATTTACAAATTCCACACAAACCTTGTAACCAGCTATAGATTTTCCATATTGTATCTAGAAAAGAATTGAGGTAGTAAGCAGAAAAGTATCAGAATAACAGAGTTGGAAGGGACTTTGGAGGTCTTTTAGTACAGTCCAGTTAATTCTGAGTCAACAAAAGAAGATTAATATAATGACGGACATTTTATTTTTATTTTTACTGTTATTAATTTTTATAATCAGTTTATAAGGAGACATTGGTTGTACTTTAAGAAATTATCTATTGTTAAGGGTTTGAAGAAAATTATTGATTACTAGGTTGACAAATAGCCATAACCCACATGTTAACAATATGAATACCATAATTATATAGATCAAAGTTCTTTTTTATAAATTAAAATATAACTAAAACAGGGCTACTGGTCTATCTAGCATAGTCTCTTGTCATTCTGATGAAGCAGTGGCTATCTACAAACTTACTTAGTCCTGCTGCTGCCTCTAATACTCTTTTAATGGACAAGAATTAAGCCTGGAAAGAATAAATCCAAAAAATGTCTGTTATCATTAAAATGAAACAATGAAGGGTGATCCTGGATTTTATACAGCTTTCTCATTAGTCTCTCATCAATCTCTTCATTGTATGCCATCCACAGGAGCATCTTCAGGTGCCATTGACCTGCTACCAACACACAGTGCTGCAAATAACTGGACAGCTGGTCTTCTGATGGACAGCAATGATATGGTTTTTAAATTTGATGGAAAGCAAGGTGCCAAAATTCCTGATGGAATAGTACCAAAAAATCTAACTGACCACTTTACCATCACCATGTGGATGAAACATGGCCCAAGTCCAGGGTTAAGAGCAGAGAAAGAAACTATTTTGTGTAATTCTGATAAAACAGGTAACTCAAAATCTGTACTTCCTTCATTCTTCCTTCAAAGTTAAATGTTCAATACAAGCAGATATTGAAAAATAACAAACTCTTATAAGAATTAGCCTCAAGATCTCTTTTATCACTGAATCAAGTATTGATTTGTAATAATTTAGTTTCTAATAAATTAATTGTATAATATGATTTTAATAAATCATTACACATACCGATATATTTCTCATCTTGGTCTATTTTTTTAGAAATGAATCGACACCATTATGCACTTTATGTACATAATTGTCGACTAGTATTTTTGTTACGGAAAGATTTTGACCAAGCTGATACCTTTCGTCCTGCAGAATTTCACTGGAAACTTGACCAGGTACACCAGCTTTTTATTATAATTATTTCCTAAAATTTCTTCCATAGTGTTATATGAACAATGTATCAATACAGCAGAGTCTAAACCTGCATTTACCAACCTGAAATTTCTAGGTCTTAAAGTTCAGTATTCTAAAGAGCCCCAAGTTTGGGAAGGCCAAACTGAACAACTTTCTGTTGCAGAGAATAGTATCTAATCTTAAGTAAGTCATGAATTATGACTGAGTGGATATTCTACTGGATGTTGTTGAAGTACTTAACCAGGATAATTTCAATTAATAAATGTTAAGAGTCCAACTATAACTAGAGAAAATTAAATTCTACTACTGAATTGGAAGCTATGGTTGAACATTAAATTATTCCTGTTGATACAAACTGTAGTCTTCCACCATTTTTTTATTTCCTTCAAGTTTTTCAGAATACCTATCTCAACTAAGATAAATAATATTTGGTGAGTTAAAAGGTATTCACCATCCAAGGCAATTTAGAGAAGTAATTCTGTAGATTCCTTCTACAATCAGAAAATTTATAGAATTTTAAATTTGAAGCAACAGCTGAATTGGAAACTCAGCTGTTCAGCGTCAGAACAGTCTCCAGGAACTTCAAAAGCAGGGTGTCTTCTAGGCTGCAGAACTGATCCTGGAATGGGCCAGCCATGCACGTGGAAGTGATCTGAGATTATAGTGGGTATTTTCAGAGACTTTATTTTTCTGAATCTTTCAGCTCCTTCAGCACATTTATCCCATAGAGATGTCACACTGAACAAAGTGTACAAGGTTGTGGCAACTCTAGTGGAAATTTATCATAAAGAAATATTTTCAGTCTACTCAGACCCTGTGAGGTGCAGAAATTCTTTTTTTTTTCCATACTGATTATTTATGATAGTCATGGGACCTCATACATCTGGAGAGCTGGTACTGAAGAAGGTTAACACAGTGCAATGTAATCAATCTCCTCAAATGGATAGATATTTGAACATTTTGCAATTGAATTGAAAGAAATGCTTGGAGCTTACATGAGTGAGAGCGTAATATCTCTTTCCAATTCATTAAGGAGCCCAGTGCTATCAAACATCTGTGCAAGGCATAAGTAAAGATGTTATTGTTTTAAGAATCACCTTATGACTCTAATAAATTGGTTTTTTAAAGTTTTTTTTAAAGTAATGCTAGTCTAAAAGAGACTGCCTTAATGAATTGTTGAGAATTGCTGTGTTTTCATGAGGTCCAAAACACTTCCAAATCAGTTTTGAAGCCCTAATATCAGTTAAAAAGGCAACTTATTCCAACAATACATAAAAATAAACTAGAAAGTAAAAGGTTTTGCTATGACAATGTACCTAAACTAGAATGTGATTTCAACAGAAAAAATCCTGAATTTCATTATTTATAATTGGTTTTGGAAATCTTTTGTATATTACAAAATATATCTAATTTCTAATTAATTTTGGAAATCTTTTTATATATATTCATTTACCAGTTCACTAAAATGTGTATAGATCTTAGAATTTTAACAAATTGATGGGAGTGATTATATAACAAGAAAGCTTTCAAGTCAAAATTAAATTAAAACTTTATTTTAAACCAACAGCAATTTTAACTGTATGGTGTCTTTAAATATTAGCCTGTTTAGTGATTTTGTTTACTTATTATACACATATTTCTTATATAGTAGATTGCAGACAGTCTGATTTTTTTAAACCAACAAAAAACCATCAAGAATCATTACATGAGTGCAAAATACTATCAGTAGCTATAAAGCTGGACCCTTTCAACATATGGTCATATGACCATGGAGCAAAAGGATCATTTATGATGGCTGGGGATCAGGAGTGGGATTCAATTTTTTTTAACAACCAATTTTGTGGGCGTGGCTTAGTTGGTGGGTGTGGCTTAGTTGGTGGGTGTGGCTTAGTTGGTGGGTGTGGCTTGGTTGTCATGTGACTGGGTGGGCATGGCCAACTTGACATCACTCATGTAAAGGGGTGCTTCTCCTCACCTGGCCTCTCATGACAGTGGGGATGCTGCAATGATCATAACTGTGAAAAATGGTCATAAGTCACTTTTTTCAGTGCCATTGTAATTTTGAATGGTCACTAAATGAACTGTTGTACGTCAAGGATTACCTGTGCAAAAATACAAAAAGTTTCTTTGCTTGCAAAAAGCTGCCCTAAATACCAATCATTAGATTAAAAATACCTGCAAGCCAGAGTTACAAATCAGGCAGGTGCCAGAGCACCTTGAGAAATGAAAATAGTTAAAATGCAGTGATAACTATCAAGCAGCCAATTCTTGCTCATAAAGTGAAACCCTTTAGCAGAGAGGTCATTTAAGCTCTCCAGAAAAAGCACACCCAGAATAAGCAATCCTTAGATCCATTTGCACCACTTAAAGATACCAGCTGGTCTCACTCAGCTCACAAGATATCCTAAGGAAATCATCCAGATTTAAGGAAAGGTCACATGCCCCCCAGAAAGGCAGTAAAAAAAATCAGTGCCAAGCTTGCATCCTGCCTCTTGGAAGTATACCCCAAAAGGACAGTGACAGATAGTACTAAAGCAGTGATGAAGACCCCCTCCCCAGATAGAAAAAGAAACCATAAGGCAAGAAAAAATTCAAACACAATACAAATAATTAAATCATAACAGTAGCTGTTGCTTGATGAAGCTGAATAGGGAAAATTATCCCATCAATAAACACAGGATTAAACGTCACCAAGCACAGAATTAACCTTCACTAAAAACCAGTTTTAGACCAAAACTCAGAAAGGGTATGTAAACTCATGTTTGAATGTTAATCTTTCTAGCTAGCCAAGAAGCCTTGCTGAGTGTCACTCATCTTGGTTCCCTGTCACTAAAAGCTTTGCTTCATTATTCAATGATTTCTTCAAAGTGCTGATTGTCCAGGGAAGTATTTCCTCCCAACAGCAGTGTAAAACAACCCTTCCCCTTTAAGAAAGCCAAGCCTCATAAGCTCCGGAGACAGTAAGTTTAGGCTGTCTGCCAAGAATGTAATAAGGGTGGAAAAAAACAAAAGGAGATTGCTTCTAACTACGGGTTCTCAGAACTGCTTAGAAAGTTAACAAGGGGTTCTATAGAAACGGATAGAAACGGTCGAATCCCACCCCTGCTGGGGATGCTTTTCTGTATGTTCATTGGGATATTAAAAAAAATCTAAACATCTATTTAATGGTTTTATATATTTAACAAATTCTACATATCAGGTTAGAGTTATGGTTAGATGACATGAATATGTGTATTACAATGAAAGAATATTTTATGAATCCATTTAATTTTATTTCATTTCATTTCATTGGTGGAAAAAAGAATATATGAAATGAGTAATTCTGGCATAGAATTACCTGAATGCCTAGTTATTTTACATGTGACAAGATAGTAGAGATTTATTTTAATAAATTCATTGTTAAGTTTTCTTTCTCAGTTGAGATCTTTGCTATACCATTCATATTTTGACATGAAGTTTTTTATATACAATGACTAAATTATTTGATAGTTTCAAGTATGATTCATTTTAAAATCTCCTTCTAGTCCAATTCTATGTCTGGATCAGGCTGTCATGAACTCCTGGATAAACACGACTATAAAGCATACATTTAACCGTTTATGATATTTGCTGTTTCTAAGAGTCCAGGAATCCAAATATTTTTCCAATCATGTCAACCTTTTCATCTTCTGCAGCACAACTCTGTCCTCTTATCCTTAACCTGCATAATAACTGTTTGTGGAAATTTGTTGCTTACATTCTCTGCATTTCTGCTTTTACATTCAGAAGAATCTACCACATTCAGCTGTAATTTTCCAGACATCAACTGATATCTGAAAGTTTCAAGGACACACAAAAATATTGACAACCCTTTGGAAACTAAAGATCAAAGTGCCAAACTTTGGGGGCAAAATCATTGATTTTCTAGCATGATTTTGCCCATTTTGTTAATAATTTTTTGTTCTTCAAATAATGTATCCCCAAGTCAAAAAAGAAAAAGAAAAAAAAAACTTTTAGTCCTACCTTTACAATACTCTGTTTACTCTTTCAAAAACAAATTGAAATTTAAAATATAGCATGGTTACACACACACACACACACACACACACACACACACACACACACACACAGAGAAAGTTTATCCCTGCACTAGGAATCCTCTTCCACATCTCTTCCAATGTGGAGTAAAGTAAGCAAGAAATGGTATGTTATGATTTTCCATTTGATTATGTATATCATTGACATAGCTGCTTGCTAATTTTATTTTATGGGTATTTTATACAGAATGTTACAGCTATTTGCCCCAATTCTTTGCTCTTAGGCATCGGAGTCTTCAGGATGATTAGGGCAATGTCTATTCAGTCTTTAAATATTTTGTTATCTCTAAGTCCTACTTAAATTTCTGCCCCATAGTATTGTAGCGATATTATTAATAATCATTTTGAAATACTAGTAGGTTTTTACATTTTAGTGATTCTGTGTTCTGTTTTAGCCATATGTGTACTGTTGGTTAGCATTATATAATTGTAAACCTCTTACATAAACATATATAGTTGTATTCATAGTTGATTTTGAAATCCTACATACACATAATCACACAAAGAAACATCCTATGCTTTTATTGTTATGCTAGGACCTTAAATTCTAGTTTATAGTACCTATGGTACTAGTTATTTAACTAGTACCTTGGGAATTGTTTTAATATTAGTATTGATTATAAATATTTATGGTCAGTGACCAAAATGAGCGATGGACGGATGGACTGCCATGTAATTATACAAAAAGGGACATGGAACTCTCTCTCTCTCTCTCTCTCTCTCTCTCTCTCTCTCTCTGTGTGTGTGTGTGTGTGTACACAAATATCAATCACTTCCTCATCTCTATTTAAATATATATATAGGTCTAGGAACAATCATATATCTGTCCTAACATTCTGTTGTGAAGAAAGTTCTAATTTTATATTTTTAATTGAATTTGGTTAAATTTATATTTGTAACTGAAT